CAACTACATTAAAATGTGATAAAGTAGAAAACAGGAGCTCACTATCAGATAAATATGAGAAACAAAGAGAAGAGGGTTGAATACAGAAAGAAAAAACATAAAAGCTGGAGTTCGGTACAACTGTAGCGCTACAGCTGTAGCGCGACGCTGTAGCGCTACAAGTCTGAACGCTGCCTAATGAGAAGATGCGTGGTGGGTGACAGGTACTGGTAACGACTGATAAGAGCTAATAAAGGAACTTAGAAAGCGATTCAGGTGGAGGTTTCAGAGCGGAATGAGTACAGCGTGGTCCAAATGGCAATCCATGTCTGGGATCTCTTGCGATAAGAAAATGCCAGAGCACCTCAACTCGAATATCTATAGAAGTGCTTATAGTGCTGAAAGCTGCCCCACACAAAGAAGCCGAAAATCGTCAAAGTGTGTTGAAGACTAGGATGTTGCGCTGGACTGCGGGCGTCACGCGTTTGGACCGCATTTGTAACAAGTAATACGCAAGAAGTTCGGCATAGCTCCTATAGCTGACAAAATGCGAGAAACGCGCCTTCGATGGTACGGCCATGTACTTCGCGCAAAGGCTGACACCGTCTGTAGAACTGGCCTTCAGCTTGAGGTGCTCGGAAAGCAACTAAGGATGTCCCAAACACCGGCTCGGATACGCTGCATACAGACTTGAAAAAAGGCTGGAGTCCACCCCGGCCAAACATTTAATCGGGAAGAGTGGCGCCATTATGTCCGAAAAGCGGATTCTACCAGTGAGTGGGATAAACGCTAAACAAAAAGAAGAAGAAAGTTAGAGTGTTAGAAAAGAAGTTAGAAAAAGAGTCGTATAATCCATAACTCGTGACACGTTGAAAGTAGGAGCAAAAAATAGAAGTCCAGCTAAAAAAATCGCACAAAAATAAAAGTTTGGTTTTTCCTTGCTTTTGTGACAGCGTTCGTGCTGTATGTGGTATGACGGCTAACGATGTGGTTCTGGGTGCGTTATTTCGCGGTCCGATCGCTTGGATAGTGCAACCACCACCAGGTCGCTCCTCTCTCGTGAAGCGCTGTACCGCCGCAACTGCTACTCTGATTACATTCGCATTCAAAGGTCATTTGTTCATTTTTCTTCGAGTCGCCTATTGTGAAGAATTGTTCTGAATACAATTTAGCGCAAGGAGCTCTTTGCCAGAAAGGATTCATCAGCTCAAAATTGTCATCGGATATGTTTCTCAAAAGCACAGGTGAAAATTGTCGGTGTCAACGTAGTTGGAAGACCATTTGGTTTTGTCCTTGTATCCATTTCTCGAAAGGATTAGAACGCAGACAACCACTGTTGGAGAAAGATAGACCTGCAGTGAAGGCACTAAGAGATAGCACTCACTAAGTCCAAGCTCTGATTAGAGAAAGAAATAAGGAGGGCGTGACGAGTGGTTCAGGTTACGTAGATTAGCGCCAAAGGCATAAGGCACGATTACTTGGAACTCGTTCTACAATGGTGCTATATAGTGGAGGGAAAATGGCGAAGAAGCGGAGTGAAACAAAAAAACGAATTCACCGATGGCATCGTGCCAATACCCATACGGTAGGGTGCATGTATATACTGAAATATCCATGCGGCACCGCAGCCGTTTTCATCAAATCCCTCCTCTTCATACTACATTTCGCAAATGGAGCGATAAGAACAGCAGTATCGCTCGGACATTTGAGGGCGGCAAACGAGCTGGGCGTCCGGGTCGTTATGTTGCAGCTTGATACGGCGCTATAACGGTACTCTGCCTTTAAAAGGGCCATGCAAGTGATGCAAAGAAAGAAAAAAACCGAAAATAAAAAGTAAGTGGGCTCTTTACTTTCCGAGTTGGAGGACTTCATTCCTGGTGCCATTGCAGCGGTTAAGCGGTTGGCGGTGAAGCGCCCCCCCCCCCCTCTTCGTGGTGGCTCGGCGATCCAAGCGATCGGATGGTGGGACATGAATGCAGAACACCCAAGCCCTCACATGAATGCAGAACATCCAAGCCCTTCATCCAACCCTCTACACATTATTCACGAATAACTAGCCCATGTGAATTTGGAACCGTGGCGCTACGCTGGATAAGGCCGCATTCATACAATCGGATTTCGTGTAATCTTTGCGCATGAACGCGGTCTATGTTGCCTATTTCGAGACTGTAAACGTTGGACATGTAGTAGGTGTGGGTTGTAAAAAAGTTGCACATGGGTAAGTGAGAGTATTGTGTAGGAACACTTCATAGGAAGTGTGGTGTGTAGGAACACATCAGTTAAAATTCGGGAAGAAACTATGACTATTTAGCGCCATCCAGCCCAAGGGGAGGGGGAGGGCGGGGAGACGGAGCAGTCTCTTAGATCCCTAGTTTCCTTTACTTGCTCCTATTAACCCACACGTCTCACCTCGGTAAGACCTGCAGACCCTTGTCTAGAGTAAACGGGGATAGTGCAACTTCATGGCCTCACAAGAGTATACAGGTCTTTAAAGGAACTATCGTCATCGATGGAAACCAGCAAAACGCCCACAATGCCCAACTTCGCCAAATATCTTCTTCTAACAATCTACTGCTCTCTTCACCATCGTTCACGTTGGATTATATCTGCCTGGGGGCAAGCTAACCTTGTTTTTACCCATGCTCCAGCCCAAGTCCCTAAAATATGCAAAAAAGCATTTTAAAGAAGTTTCAAAAGGGTCTGCAGACGTTAGATGGGGTACCTTAGAGGGAACGCATGAGTGACCTTAATTTTCCATAATTTTCGACTGTATCTATCTCTCATAGCCAAGAAAGAACTGATGGTGAGTTAAAGGAGTTCATTCCACTCTCTCTCCAAGCCATCACCAGATTCCTAGCACGCCTCTCGACTGACTCATATCCGAAAAAAGACACTATGTTCTCTGGAATAATTAATTTCAAAAAGGGAATTTGCATAGAGAATTTCACAGCTCATCGCTGCTGTGGATTGAGATTACGGAGCATCAAATGTATTAGGCCGCGTTCATAGATTGCGATAGTGTTGAAAAGCACAAATGATGTATGACGAATAGCTTCACTTACATATCGATTTGAAGAAATCAGAAATGACGGAAATCTGGTGATGGCTTGGAATCTGGTGATGGCTTGGAGAAATCGCAGAAAATCTATAAAATAACGAGACGCGGAAAATCGATACGTATCTCATCCTTTTCGTCATTTCTGCATTTCTTCAGTGTCACAGGCTATGAACGCGGCCTTAGGCACATCCCCAATTAAAACTAATTCTCTCTTTCCCAGTTGCTAAGCAAATAGAGTTGGGACTACTTTTGTTTTTTGCAAAAATAAACTATCCCTGATTGTTGTTTACAACGTTTCGTGATGTAAACCTGAATAGCAAGGGCAGTAACAGTACGCACTATCTCTTCAGAAAGATACCATAATGATATTTTTTATAGAATGAATTCCTATGAAAAAAAAACGTTTTGTGTAAACTCGGGCGAGAAAACATTAATTTTGAAGCCCTATTCATGCAGTTTCTCAAACGACCAGCCATGACGAACGGATTCCTTCGACAACAAATAATTTAACCTTTTTGATAGGTTTATGAATGTGAGCAAAGAAGTCTTCCTGGAACTCAATCTCTCCAGGGAGAAATTTTCAAAAATATACTCTTTAATAACCAATGACAAACTAGAGAATCGGACATTTCATGAAACGTGTGGCACAACCGTCAAGCGATTTGTCCCCTATTTTCGTAGTACGCGTTGAATCTTCGGTATTGATTCTCGATTGGGCGGAGCGAAATAAATCAATATTGGTCTCACATTTTTCGCGAATTCTCCAATTCTTCTTAAAAGCTAGAATGAGCGTGCTCTATAGAGTCTGAAGTCATCAAGATGTACGGGAACACTAGGTACTCAAGGCAGTTTATCATGAGTGATATGAGCTCTATTACTGATCTGTTTGACAAACTTAATGCAACAAAGTTGTATGGATCATAAGGCGACAGTTTAGTTCTACAGATGATACGGGATGTACAAAACATTTAAAGCCTTTCTTTCGAAACTAAGTGACAAGTAAATAGCTCAATCAATAACATCAAGAAAAGCGGCATTGATAACTAAGGAAGACCTTAAGAAAGAGATCAAGTAAAGGCTGAGAGATTGTTCCTGAACGTATCTGTCTAAACAAGACTATGAAACTAAGAGATCTTTTCTATTACTTCACAGTTACAGCCTGCCCGCTTCCATTTCGACACTGCTTGCTACCTTTTGGGCCTCGTCGGACGATGAACCCATCCGCTATTGAGCTGAACTACCTATCCACCCAACCTCAGCCGCATTCTCTATGCCTAGCGAACATGCAAAGCGGAAAATAAGTCATCGCTTCGAGCACCTGCCCCTTGGAAAAAATTCATTAGGTGCCTATTCGGCTCCTACATCATTATTTCCAGGAAAAATTATTGGAACCACCAAAAAATCATGGTAATCTACATGCGGCTAAAAGTTGTTGTAGGACTGAGCTTTTGCCAAGGTATGAGGGACTCACATAGAAAACACTTTCGGCAAACAGAAATCCTCCAGACAGCCAAAATTTGACCAGAACTTGGGGAAAACTTGGCAGATGGTGAAAGACGCACAGAAAACACAGTCTTTAGTAAAGCGACTTAATGATTAGTAGATTAGCGCCGTAGATCGCATCGCAGCCGGAAGGACCCGAATCATGGCTGAACGGGCTGGCGCATGAGAACGAGCCGCGTTCGCGAGCCGCGCCGCAACGTCGACCGCCCGCGCGCCGCGTGCGACGCGTGTTTGCGTGCCTACGTGGCTCCCCGCAGCCGCAAGACCTAGTCGATAGTTGGCTAGGCGCCCTCCCTTGTCTGCTGCACCATCGTCCTGCCTTCAGGATTTTGCGTTTTCGCCACACCTTCATGACGCCGTAGACGGCGGATGATTCCTATTCGTTCATTCTACTACTCCAGGACGCGCGGCGGAGTTGCCGCACGTTATTTCCGTAGTTACATTGCGGGAGTACGCCAAAATGGCCACCACGTCGAAGTTGTCGTTTCGAGCCAGAAATCTCGATGCCAACAAAGGAATGTGTGTGTTCTTCGCCGCGGAACTCCCGGATCTGTCCGAATGTGCTCCAATCGCCCGGGCAGTAGCTCAGATGCCGACCGGCATGGAGAAGGAAGAGGAGATGGTGAGTCGCAGCATGGCTGTCGCCCGCATTATTGATTCATTGTTCCACGCAACCTGTTACCCCCTACGCGTACTAGATTTCGACTTGCTTGTTTGTGGATGTGAACTGTAGAAATATTGTGTATTGTCTATTAAGTGCACCATGTTGATTGTACGAGGGGGGGGGGTGCGTTTAGGTGTCAGGTTTTTAGATATCTTTAATAATTTTTCATTGAAGAAGCACCTCACGTTTGAATAGAAGTATGATTTAATGTTAGATTAAAGTGCATACGTGAGCGCTTCTTTTGGTTTTGCGCCAGGCCAGCGTAAACAACTGCGAACTTAGGCGATGCTGCGTATCGATCGGCCGGCGGTGATTACTCCTGGCGCTGCATTGAAGTGCGATGGAGCGAAATTTCGCTGTATAATGAGCATCTTTAGGAGTCTCACCTCCAAGATGCAATCCTCGCTCAACAAGCAAGCACTTCTGGAGTTCGAGTCGATAACCATGTTATTCCGACACCCAAGGTGTTCCCGGTTGACCCTAAACGCTATGACGAGATATATCCGGTTCAACCTCCCCCTCCGAAGAACAGCCTCATCAAAGTTCAAGGTAATTTCCTACTTACTCTAATTTGGTTGTCACTCAAAGAACGTTTTTAGCCTGGTTGGCTCTTGACAAAGAGGAAGCTGAGTACGACGTCGATTCAGAGGACGAGCGCTGGCTCTCTGAGAGGCCACATATTGATCCGAGGGCCTTAGAGCGAATATTTGATACGCTTGAAGCAAAATCATCCGATAATAATATTTGCTTGCCTGATACAGCGAGATCGGCTCTTTTAGGTACATTCTTAGCTGATTCTTTTTCGCTTTTTGGACTTGATTTTTTTTCTTACGTCTCGTTTTCTGTTCATAACAACCTTACCTTTCCTTATAGCTTCGTTTATTTGTGTTACTTATGTTTTCCTTTTGAATTGATGTTATTTTTACGATCCTGTTTTCCTGATAGCAAACGTTCAAGCGTTCGACGGCGCCGTCGTTGACGATGTGTACGACTACTGGCTGTCGAAAAGAGGACAGAGCTCAGCCGTAAGGTCGCTGCAACTGGGTGTTGGAGGGTTAATACCTCGCGTCAGAACGGAATGTCGAAAGGTGCGCCGTGTATTCGCGTGTTGCGTTTCCCTTAGGAACGATAAACATACATAATTAGGAATTAGTATCCCGGCAAATATACCCATGGGTCACCTAGTGGGTTCAGTCACATAAGTGAATCAATAAGAAATTGAATTTAGGACCAGCAAGGTGGAGTGAATCCGTACGTAGCATTTAGAAGACGGGCTGAGAAGATGCAGACTCGAAAGAATAGGAAGAATGATGAGGATTCGTACGAAAAGGTAGTGCTGCAATTTTCCTATGTTTGCTAATATGTTGTTGTTTGGTTGATATCTCGAATTTCCTTTTATCTAGGTACTCAAACTTGGGCACGATCTCCGGAAAACTGTTACACTGTTCGATATGGTGAAGAGGAGAGAGAAGACCAAGATTGCACTGATAGATCTTGATTCGGAAATTCTTGCTCACCGCATGGGACTGCTCGATTTTGGATCAAATATTTATAATCAATTTATTGCCAAAATCAGAGAGTCAACCAAGCTTTCATCTAGTGGGGTTGCGAACGGTGTCGCAAAATCAGAGGTTGGTATCTTCCTCAGTATGGTATTCCACATTTTCGGTGTTTTTTTAAATTTGATGTGATGAATCGAACTGTTTTAGGATGATGCTTTATTGAAGAAAAAGGCAAAGCGACGGAAGATTCGAACTGTTGCTGCTAGTGTTGATCGTGAAGTTCCAAGCAAGGTACTACCAGTTTGTTACAGTACTTATTTTCGCGAACTTAACTTCTGGTTAGTTTTGTGTGTTTGTATGTTCAATACGACGTTTGTAAGGCATGGCTGAAGAAGAATGCCGAAGTTTGGAATCGCCCTCCATCTGTTTTCGCTCCGTCTGGTGTCTCACCGGTTGCTGAAGTTGATCTGTCAGCTGCGTCTGAAGAGGATCGTGATGGTCCGTTTGTTTTCAAGCGAAGAAGGGGATGTCTGTACCGAAGCCCGATCCTTACGGATAGCACTAATCCGCCCGACGATCAGTTGCAGGTATTTTTTTTTGGTAATACGAGGCTCCCGCGGATTATTTAGATGCGTAATCCTTCAGATACCTAAATCGCGGCATTTGTACGAGACGTACCTTCCTCGTTGCGACGGTGTCATTCGTCGGATCGGCTTGACGCGTCGAAGACTTGGAAGAGGAGGACGGGTGTTGTTTGACCGGTTTCAATGTTGGGACGTCCCTCGCGTACCCAGCCCCAGTGATCCATTCTCAGAGGATTTCCTTCGAGATGACTCAGTGTTAGTACACTTATCTATCATTTGAAATTTCTATTTATCCTGGCTCACTTAATATTTCATTATTTAGGTCTTTCCGCGCTCGTCTTCGTCCTTGTCAGGAACAAAGCGATGTGCGTCCCAAACGATTTCCTTGCTGGAGCCGTTCCGCCGAAGAAGACTGTGAGCGACGGTGGTTGGCCAGTGGTGATAACCCGCCTGATGCCAAAAGTCCTGTGCAGGATGTCGGCTCAGATAGTAATCACATGCCCATCACAAGCTTATCATCCGACCCTCCCGTTGTTACTCAGTCGGGAAACGGATTAGCGGGCAGAGTGGACCCATCGACCCTCATTTCGACTAAGGTGTGCCACAGAGTATTGAATATATTATATAGCATATTCAAAAAACAAGTGTAGTACACTTGGGATGATGCACTACAGGAATTTACAGGTTTTTCAGGAGTATGGAGCTGTGCCAGCACCAGATGAGTGGCGAGAGGCGAGTGGGTCGCCATCGGAGTCGAATTCCTCCACGGATTGGGTTGCTCCGCCTATGGCTACTCAGATGTACCCCGCTTTGTCAAGTGAGGAGGAAGCCCGTACTGGTGATCATCCGATTGCAAAGCAGCCACCTGTGAATGTCAAAGGGTGTGTTATTACACCTCGAAACCTTATTGCTGAAACAACGAGTTTTGATTTTCATGTTATGGTGTAGTACATCTGGAAAACTAACAGAAACAGAACATGGAAAAGAGCTTACCATTTCGATGATTTGGTAAAACCGTGTTGAAACATCAAACGATGGGATGTTCAGGTCTGTGGTGGGTGCGACCGAGATCGAGTACCGTAGTCCATTCCTCCTGGCGCCTCCTACGGTTGGCAGCTAGGTCTCCGCTCTGCCCGAGCTTCGTGTACAGCTACTTTCTCAGTCTTGTAAATGATCTTCGCTCTCCCTCATTCAGTGTGTTACGAGGTCTCTGTTGTTTTAGATATATGATAATATTCAGTTTTTTTTTCTATTCGCGATGCCGTTTTAATGTTCTATATCGTTTCATTTTTACCGCTCTACGTCGACTGGTATCCGAAAATCGTGTTGTTGGATTTAGAAATTGTTCTATTGACTTCCACATGTCTGTGATGAAACACACTAAAAAACGAATAAAAATCAATAAAACCTCTTGTGCTGGATGAACGCAATAGAATTTTATCCGTAGCTATCATAATGCTTTTATGCGTCACAGCGCATTGTGCAAAACGACTCGTCGCCCCACCTGTTATATGATCCGAATTTCATAAGGCTATGTTATGATATTGTGTTTCACTTCAACACCGCATCTAGACTATTTGGTTGTAATGCGGGTGAGGTAATAGGCGGTGGTGCGATGGACGGTCCTGGAGCAGGTCCTCGCGGTGCCACAGGAAGATGTGGAGCCGTACTTGCCGACTCAGACTCGTTTTCCAGAAATCGGATGAATTGCTCCACCAACGAAACACTTCCGCTCGGGTTTCCTTGGCGTTGAGGGCTTCTTCCGCTGACTGCTTGTCGAATCTTAAAGTGAAAAACATCACCATTTTAATGGCATATATGAGCAAAAGCCACCACGCAAACGTGAATTCAATGACCAAAGAACGCTGGGCGAAGGGGAGATTCCTCTCCGGGCTGGCGCGACGCCACCCATGCCGCGCGCGGCGAACCATACGACTGATGGAGCGGGTTCAGACTTCTCTACCTTTTCCAAGGCGTACGTTGAGCAAAGGATTTCTCACAGTCTACAGTATTACTCATTCTGACCGCGATCCATCCCTAATCGTTCCGTAATCAATATCAATATTCTGTGATGGATCCCCGTTGAAATCTAATGCAACTTTTTTCCGCTTTTGCATAAAAGCACTTTTGAAATACCAATAGAAATATGGTATATGTCCCAAAAGCAATGAAAAAAGCACTTAAAATGCGCCCTAAATACCCCATAGACAACCACATGCTGAACCGTGCTTCTTCGTGCACAAGGCGAAGAAAGGGCCTGATCCGACGAATTCCCGCTTATTGGTGTCAGCTCTTTCTCCTTATCATCACACTGTCAAAACTATCACCATTCAAAATAGAGAGAATTAACAGCGGAGCAAGCACGGTTCAGCATGTGGTTGTCTATGGGGTATTTAGGGCGCATTTTAAGTGCTTTTTTCATTGCTTTTGGGACATATACCATATTTCTAT